TATCTTTCAAAAATATATATAAGACCTATATAATATAGTAAAAAAATCTCTTAAAAAAAATCAGAAAATTTTATTAAACATATGTATATTTAAAAAATATATTATTGTGATGATTGTTTATTTTAAATAACAGTTTATGTGTAAATTATTTATTTAAACACTTATTTATTTTATAACGGTACTATTCTAATTTATATATATTTCGAATGTCTTTGAATCGTTCACTATTTATATTCACAGTCCAATACTTTATTCTTAACTGTCTATGTACTAATGACTTTTTGTTGATCCTCCACCAATATATACAAATTGGGTATCCAGAATGCTCCTCCACCAAAACATCTCATGTCCGGAAAATACCAGAAACATTATCACGATGACTCAGGAATGTTCGCGAAAGTTGAGCCTCAAAGGCCAAATAAGACAGAGAGGGACTTGGAGGATTAGAGCATGACTGAATAATGAAATTGCTCACATAACATTATTCTACTAGGAAGAATGAGCTATAGTCTGGAGAAGAAAGGAGTGCAGTATTTTTTTTTGCAGAACGTAGTACAGGTTTAAGAGGTAGACATTTTATTTATACCCCATCCTTTAATGCTTATTTCCAGTTAAAATGAAAATTTTAATACATCTGATGTTTTTTTTAAATCACATTTTTTTAAGAAATAGATGTAAAAACTGAATTTTTGTCGTAATTAGTGTGTTGCCTTTAGGTACCTACGTTATTCATAAAAAAGCAGTCAGATTCAAAGTCCATGTTAACTTGGATAATATAACAAAAAAACATGTGACCACGTACAAATAACTTGAAACTCGTTTAATATAAAGAAATATTATTATATAGCTATTTTAAATAAAGCGACAACTTTGTCGCTTAATGTCAGTTCGCGGAAAACGTCAAGTTTGTGATTGGATTTCGAAGCACGAAAGCCTATTTTGGATAGTGATCGTAGAAAAAATATATTAAAAAAGAAATGGCCAGAGAAACAGGAATTCTCAGATTGCCTCCTTACATCGCATAGTTAAATCCCATTGAACTGATCTGGTCACAATTAAAAGGTGACGTTTCTCGAAACAATACAACATTTAAATTACCTGATGTGCGAAATAGACTTAATAGACCCTATAATAATAAATCTCAGAAAAGACAATGATAATGATACCAGTAGTTATAGTGAAGACAGTGACTTTTAAAGATAGTTCTTGAACTTTTTATTTTTTAATCTTTGATTTTTAGGTACTGAACTGTTACTTTTAATGCCAAGAGCTTAAAAAAAGTTATCCCATTAACAACATATAATCCTCCTTGTTATTTATTGGTTAAATTTAATTCATTCTATGTTAAAGTGCAACAATTTTATCAGAAGCATAAGGTTTATTTTTATTTTTTGTAAATAATATAACTTTTTTCATTAAAAAATTTAATATACAAAGTGCGTATGTACCATTTTATATGCCGTGGCCTTATTTATATTATAGAAACCTATTTTGTCAAATAGGCCCATGGAATATGACGTTATATCCCCACTTTTACTGCACTCCTTTTATTCAGACTATTACTAATAAAAATAAACATTACGCATAAACTTAGTTATATCAAATTTATAATAATTAATCAATGATTGCTTCCTCTTCTTTCTACCAAAAATAAATAGATAAAATGTACATTATAATTTTTGGCTCGTCTGACTATGTGTCTCCGAATAACACTGAAGTCTATTGGCTTATTGTGTTTTACCCCATGTTAGTTCATAGCACCCACTCTATCACCTTTGTACCTTGTACAAGTTTGTACAGATCCTTGGGTGAGTGGGTTCTATACGTTGTTGGATCAACCTGGGGTTGTCCAAAAAGAGCCTGTCTTTTGCGATCTAGAGCTTCGCATTCGCACAGTATGTTTTTGGCCGTTTCTGGTTTCTTGTGACCTAGTCGGCACATGAGTTCCCCATTGTACATGCCAATTTTGTTCGAGTGTCCCTTTACTGGGGCGTGCGCAGTCATGAACCCTGTTATCACTTTCAACTGGTTCCTATTCATTAAGAGTAGTTCTCCAGTTCTTTTGGGACATGGTCTGTCTATGAAGGCTTTTCCATGTGCCTGTTTTGGGGTGCTTCCCCAATAGTTGATATGTTGTTCCCGAATCCAGTCATTTATAAAACCCCGGACTGTACTTTTTGGTACTCCTGGGTTTGTGTCTGGTTCCTCTATTTCGGTTTGCCAGTGTTCTTAGTTCTTCGATGCATTCCCATACCAGCCTCGACGTAACTTTCTGACTCGTTACACATACTCTATGTTTTTAAGTACACATGAATAACTTTTTTAGTTCAATTTACCAAATCTTTTATTTATTATGTACAAGCTCTAATTTGTACAAAATTGAAAAAAAAAATTGACACCTCTTTTATTGCACGGTTATATTGCACTGGAAATTGGTTTGACATTTGAGAAGAGCTTCTGCCAAATATTTTAACAAGTAACAAGTATAAATGGCCTAGTGATAAATATAAGAATAACTTGATTTATGTGATAACGTCTTGTTTGATTCAATTCCAATAAATGCTGTAATAATGACCAACTTGTCATAGATGATTAACATTCAACAACTTTATAAAATAATTAATTCCCAAAAGAAAAACAAAAATAATACAGATGAAATTGTTATTGATTTAATTAGACGTCTTTATCACGTTCTGGGTTATCCTTTATTAAATTTGATTAATTTAAGTTTGGAAAAAGGAACCGTTCCTCAATGTTTTAAAACATCCACTATAGTTCCTATTCCTAAGGTGATAAATACAAATAGAGTTGATCAACTGAGACCTATAAATATGTTGCCATTCTGTGAAAAGGTACTTGAACTGGTTGTGTATAAACAAATTGTGAAGTTTTTAAATGATAATGATATTAATGATATATTATGCAGTTATCAATAAGGTTTCAGAAACTCTCATTCTTGTGAAACGGCTCTAGAGTTAGTTGTGTCTGACATGAAAAAAATATTAGATAAACCAGGAAGAGGAAGGAAGAGCTTTTGAAACTATAGATCGCAGAATTCTTTTATTAAAATTAAAAAGGTATGGGTTTAATGGTTCTGTAAGCCACAATAGACCCATCTGGGTCGCAGTGAAAGGCGATGAGATCATTCCACTCATTTTCAACCAACCAATTTTCATGCATATGATTGATTAGAAAATTATTTATCAAATAGATTTCAAAAACAAAGATTAATGATAATATATCGGATTTATTATTAAACGATGTAGGCGTTCCTCAGGGCAGTGTCTTGGGTCCTTTACTCTTTATAATATATATAAATGATTTGTGATCTATTGTAAAATTCATCTACTCGCTGATGATACATTAATTTATTGGTATGGGAAAGATTTTGAAACAATAATTCTAACTTTAAACTTTAAGAAATTTAAAATTAATAAATTAAAAGTAAATGAAATAAAGTCGAAGTCAATGTTTATGGGGAATAATTTTCTGTATAATACGTATTTAGGTTTAAATTTAAATATAGTCATAAATGACGAAGTCATTGAAAATGTTGAAGAAATAAAATACTTAGGATTAATACTAGATAGAGAATTGAAATTTAATAAGCACATTGGTTATATGTCTAAAAAAAATAGTAAGAAAATATTATATTTATATAGGGTGTTCTAATTTTGATAGGTTACAAATTCTGCAGAATAAGGCAATGCGGGCAATTTTGGGATGCAATCGTTTTACTAGTTCGCAGTTAATGTAGGAAGCTAAAAATTGGATAAAAATTGAACATCTTCTTTATATTTAGACGATGATATTTATATATAAAATTGTTAACAACATGTTACCTGAATACGTAAACTGTCAACTTGTACCAGTTGCAAATATTCACTAGAACGGCAAATTCTATAAATTTTTATGTGAATTCAAGTAACAAAACCAGCTCCATGAAAAGTTTGTTTCATAAGGGTATAGTTCAGTTTAATATTCTGCCGGATGACGTTAAAGCAAGTTTAAGTGTAAACGTGTTCAAAAAAAAGATGAAGGATCATGTAAAGTTTTATAAACACAATTCGTTTTTTATGTTATTTTTTGTTTGTTTCGTAACTATATTATTTAATTTGATATTCAAATCCCACTGATTATTTCTAACGAGTTTTTTAAATTCTTTATTCATTTTTGGTTTTTAAATTGTTAAATCTACTTTCTAACCTTATAATGTATCTGCGTTACTTTCTGTACGTATTATCTTTTGATAAACATTATTTTATTCTATTCTAATTTACGAAACTAAAGCTGATAATTTACGTCATTATCAAGCTAAAATATTAATTAAATTTTTCTCATGGACTAATCGAATTCAAATTATAACAAATACATATAAAACTGGCATGGCCAACTTTTCAAATTTGATTTTGGGCATTTTAATTCATGTCCATTAAGTTTTGAAATTTCGGTGTAAAATTTTCTTACCAAATTCCACACGTGCCTAAATTATTATGCGCAATTTTTTGCTCATTCACTCACTTATTTTTTTTTAAGTAGTCCTGAGTTTGTAAAAATTCGGATATAATTTAGGCGCTTGCGGTATTATTAGTGCAAAGAATAAAATAGAAATTATTAATAGGTACATTTTTGTTACATTAAATAAGACGCCATCTAAATAAGTAGGTAGTTGATGAACAGTTAAATGTCCTTTCTTTTTTTGTGTAAATATCTGTTTCCTTTCAAATATATTTTTAATGGACAATTTCAGATTTAGTTTCCACCGTTTAAAAAAATTACAAAATATCGATCACCCGTACTAAATTTTCTAGTCTTCATCAGTTAAGATCAGGTTCTTGTAAATGGTACCTTCCAAGAAGTTAAGAGTAACAGTACCGCGGCACTTTGCGTCGCTTACAGGGAATGCCAATAAGCTAAAACTACGCGACAAAACTTTAAATGGGCTAAAAAATGCGCTACTCTTCCGTTTCCATTTTTTTTATGTGTAGTATTAGTGCGAGTTTCCTTAACGGATTTTTATGATTTTATTATGTAAATGGTTTTAATTGTGAATATGTGGGGGTGGATTATTATTTTTATTGAACTATTTATATGTGAGTATACTCGTATTAATTTCATCTATAATAATATTAACAATAATACTTTATTTGTCCATTAAGACCATGTTACATGATAAGCATAAGTTATATACAAATGAAAAATTGTATGCAATAATAAGTACAGAATACAAAATATCAACAAATAAAAAATTACCTTTATATTAAAATCATATAATTAGAAAAAACATTTAGATACCTACCTACTTTAATATGGTGGTATTCTGATAAATTCTTAAACATGTCTGCCAAATTATTTTTAATGATCTTTTAAAAGGTTCATGTGTCTTTTCATATTTAATGAAATAAAAAATTTAGTGATGATATTTCCAATAACGCTTTTGAATGTATTGGACTTTTGAATAAATTTGCATTCCTTGTTAAGTATTCATAATAAATTGAATTATTTAAAAGAAGGGTAAAAATGCTTAGACCCATCAATTTATAACATAAAAAAAATGTGCCCACCCTTCCATTCTCTTCACGTGACAAAACCTCCTCAATTTTATTAAATTTCAAGAGGAGCCTTGTGGCACTTTTTTGAAAGAGGCTTAAATTTTTTTTATTACTTTAGGTCCTATGCGACACAATTATTTTAATTATAATAATATAAATCTTCAAAACTAATAAATTATAACCATAATGAACTAGAGATTCTTAAAGAAGGTATTCAAAATGTTCTGTATTTATTTCCTGATATTTGTAAAAAAAATTAGACACGAAATATTGGTATTTAAAAGAACGTATAGTGTGAACCTGATAAAAATAACTCGGTATGTATAACAGTTTGGTTTATATTATTTATGATACATTTTTGAATTTCCCTTTTCAAATCTTTTTCAACAAAATATGAGTGGTTACTGTCACGTGGAGGGGATGAAAGGATAGTAGATTTTTTTATGTTATAAAACGTCTCGAATAAAATAAAAATACTGACAGAAAGATTAGAAAGATTTTAAAGAGATATTAGAGAGTTATTGCAAGTTCACTTATGGTCAGTCATTATTAACGCCGTTCTTATTTTGCCATCTGAGCATGCGCAGATCATTTACATTTTAGAACTGACCTTATTAAAGATTGTTCTTAATTGTGGATGTTTAAGGACAGCAGATAGTGGCAACTTTATGACTTTCGGGCCGAGGTCCAAAGGACGTCCTGTTTTGTTACCGGGACGTAAATCGGACGTCCAATGGACGTCCTAATATCTCGTTTCTGTCCATCTTTGGGACATCCCGAAGAGATGTCACTGGGACATCCCAAGAGGACGCCATAGGGACTTTTAAGGGACGTCCGATGGACGATATTTGACCAAACCCCATAAAGGGTAATAATAACAAAAATGTTAACAATAAAAGGGCTTTATTTAACAACTTTTATCCTGAAAAAATTAGCTAGAGTTAAACGTTTTCAGTTTACACACAAAAAAATCAGGAATGAATTAAATTTAACACACTGTGCTGGTCCTGCTTATAGCTTGTGTCGACATAACTGAGATTTATAATTTTGTCAAAATTAGGTTTGTTCCAACTTTCCGCCATTGAGGTCTTTTCTTTCCGCCAGCGCTACCGCCAATACATATCCTTATTCTCACTTCAACACAAAACACTATCTTCACTTTATAACTACTTTACCACCAACATCAAAAAAATAACAAATAACACTATATAACATTCTTTTCTTCTTTGTTAATCTAACTCACTTATATAACTTAATTATTTAATGCCAAAAATTGTAGCTGTTGTTGTTGATTTGAAATTAATAATAATAATAATAATAATAATAATAATAATATTTATTCACACATAATAATATAAAAGTTTTACAATAATACACAAACATACGTATTGTAACTTCAATGTAAATAAATCATTGACCCCATTAAAACTGTTAAGTCGAGCATGGGAAATGCCAATTTTTATTAAAAATTGAAATTGCCAAAACGCAGTAGATAAAAGAAATTATAATTAAGGTATACATAATAACTAAAATAATAAAATAATAATAATAATAATAAGATAATTATAACTTATATAACTAAATAATAAAAATTTAAATTGGTAAAAAAAATATAGTTAGCAGAAATAGTGATGCGTGATAAGGGTGTGAATTATATATATGTTTTCCTTGAATCAATCAAAAAGTTGTTTAAGCATGTGCCTATTATTTAATATTAAATATGTTTTAAGCAAGTATTTTATCATTGCATGAGAATTGATGGTATTTATGTATATTTTGTATTTATCAGGAAGTGTATTATAAATTTTTAATTGTAGATATTGGAAGTTTCGTTGGCCTACGGTTTTTTTTGCAATGTTTGTTGTAATAAATAGTTGTGATCAATTTCTTGTCTGGTATGAATGTTGAATGGGTATTAGTAACTGCTTATTTTTATGTAAATTTACCATCATAGCAAGTGTAAATAGTTGTCTTATATCTAGAACTGCAGATTCTATAAATAATTCCTGTGATGGGTGTGATACTTTTTTGTTATAAATTATTTTTAATTAAATGATAGGTTACGTTTTCTGTTTTTCTCCTACTCTTGCAAAAACAAACCGTTAAATTTCAAGTTATCAATTTAAAGACCAACGATGCCAGGACATAGAAAGTCTCATAGACGTCCCATGGATGTCCCATTTACGTCTTGGACTCGGTCTGAAAACTGAACGCTTTGTCGAAACGGGACCAAAGATGGAATTCCAGAGGACGTCCTTCGAAGGACGTCTTAGTATTCACGGTAACTGGAAGTCCAGTGAACGTCCGATTTAGGTCCCAGGCTAACCTGGCCAACAAGGGACCAAATCAGGGCGTCCATGGGACTCCTGTGCTATCTGGGGGTGCGCTCGTCGACATTCGTATCAGTTCGAAGTTTTTTAATATTTGATATCATCGTCATTTAAACCTTTTGAAATGGTAATTTCTAATGCCTCTTCCATATTATGTACTATTAAAGACAACAAAAAAGCTGAACTGTAATTTAAAATTTTTAAAATGTGGGTAGAAATATGTATAAGGACGAGGACTCTAATGTTTAAACTTCAGGTTTGCAATAAGTCTTATTTTATCATAAAACTTTTTAGCCTCGAATTACGTTGTCACTATTAGTGGCTGACGTTATAGAAATTGGCAATATCTCTCTATTGTAAGTTCAGTTAAGGTCAGTCACTATTAGCGCCGCTCTTATTTTGACATCCTTAAAGCGTTTGCGTTCTAGAACCTACTTTATATTAAAGATTGTCTGTCCCACATACTTTGATTTTCTCTTACTATACGGAGAATGGTCGCACTGCGCAGCTTTCTGAGTGCCTTTTAAAAGGAGATAGAAACTCCGCCATTTTGATGCCATATTACGTGTTGCCTACATCTTGGCGCAATATTTTTAATAGATGCGTTTTAATCATCCGCTTCTGCTTCTAAATTGTCGCTTTTCTTGTTTTAATCTGACAGGTTAAAACGACTAAACCGACAATTCTGGAAGCAGAAGCGGATAATAAAAACGCACCTGAATTTTGCTTGCTGCTGTAAGTGTCAGTAAATATTATTTTTGGAGTCACAGTTTATTGCTAAAGAATCAGTTAGCTCACTCGGACCAGTTGAAAGTTCCAAAATAACATCCACTCCAGGGATACAAATTCAGGATGCGCAGAAGACTGCTGTTTTATTATAGGCGGTTGTCATATATTGTATTATCCGAGTTGCGTAGTGTATAAACTGGAACATTGAGATCAAAAAAGCCGTTGCAGAGTGAGCGAACTGATTCTTTAGCTATAAACTGTGGTAAAGGCATCAAAATGGCCGCGCCCTATGTCGGGCGTGTCGGACCTCTCTCTTGCACCTTATAGTAATCAAAGTATGTGGCATGTCCTTAATTGTGGATATTTAAAGGCAGCTCTGATAGTGGCGACTTAGCCCAATCGGATTAGGTGAAGAACAGGCTTGAGATTCTGAAAAATTCGAAGCAGCAATTTTCCTTCGGAATTCGTTGGAGGGGGTCTGTGGTAGTCTAAATTCAAAAAGTTGGGATTCCAAAGTTGTCGTTACCTCCGCCAGCTTGATTTAAAGGGTTATTTTTTGTATCTTGAATAACTCATTTATTTTCAATTTTACACGGAAAATAGTTTTTACAAAAGTTATTTAAAATTAAATTTCCTACAATTCTGCTTTTTTTTTTGTAGGTACGATCGATTTTTTTCGATTTATACCCGAAAAGAGGGGGTGAATTTTTGGTTATAGAATAACTCGTTTATTTTTAATTTTACGCGCAATTTAATTTGTTTTTTAAATAATTTTATTTGGACAATTTATTTGATGATAAATAAAAACAGATACAAATAATGCTTATCTCATTTTTTGCTTTTCTTTAAAAAGTGTGTAATAATATTTTATTTATTTTGTCTGGAGCAATTGCTGTATCTTATCTGACAAGTTGTAAAACATAAAACTAACTTATAAATACATTTATTTTATATATAGGGTCATTGTAATTTATACAATGATAGGGTGTATGACTTATAAAATTCGCCATAATGCTAAAAGTAGGTATTTAAAATTATTATACAAAGGACCACGCACTTTTCTTATGCAAACGGGAGTACCGTCAAAATGTCTGAATTTTTGATATGTTAAATAACTTGATGTCCCCATCAAAAGTGTCCATGGGCCCAATCGTATCCTATGACTAGATTTTGAGATACAGGGTGTTGAAGTTAGAAATCCCTAATTCTTTAAAATGGACACCATAAATCACCCTTAAATATTTTTGGAAGTTTTTTGCTCATTCTGTATAGTCAAAATACATACTTAACTACTATAATTAAAATAATGTACCTTACAGGGTGAATAATAATTCGGCAAATCTTTTTTGGTCAAAGTAGGTATTCCCACCGAACAAAAATAGCTAAAATACAGAAAAAAAAAATATCACCGTCAAAGTCTCTCAATATTTAATATCGTATAGTACTCGATGTACTCGTTCAAAATTCTTATTGGTAAAATTA